AACCGCGTCTTAACTAATTGAGTTTTTTCACAAACTTGTTTATTGCTCGCCGATGCATTAACATCGCTATAAAAAAAAAAAAAAAATAAAAAATAAAATGCATCTGCCGCTGCTCGTTCACTGCTATTTATTTTATATTCAAATGTTTCCTAACCCCTTCGGTAAGTACGGCGTTTTGCGCATCACCATCAGGTTTTATGCACGAAATGTGCGTTGTCTCGGAAAAACAAATTCGAATTTTCAGGACTCCTGACGTCTCCCGATTTATTTCATCACGTTTCGCATCCTTATGCTTGCCACGTGCAACTGTACTACAAATTTCAATTGTTTTTTCACATTTTTCCAGAGCCAACGTTATTGAGTTATCATTGTGTTCGTGTATGCGATCGTTAACACATATCCTAACTTTTCATAGTATTTGTATTCGTTTGATTTCGGTCAAGAGTGCGAAAACCCATAAACCATAAATGGGTTCTCTTATCAAGTCTTGTCAACAATATTTCAAGTTAAAGATGCAAAGAATATGGTTTCAATTTTATTTAGCAAAATAATTGCTATAAAATTCGTACTACCATGGCTGCGATAGACCTCTATTTTTAAAATTAATCTTAGGGCCCCCGGTGATCGCCGTGCATCTGGGTGGGGCCGGACCGACACTGCACATGAATCTTGTTACTCGCACGACATTATCGTTATTATAATAATACAACTGTGATCGGTGACTCTAAACAGTCACGGTATCAGTGTCAAGACGACGATTTCGTTTGATGATCCTGCCCGCGGGATTCAGTGATACGATTAAACTTTAAAAAACAACATAACAGCCATGTCACCCTACTAGCCGAAGGGCATCGCTTCATCGGACGTGTTCCCATCGTCCTGCTGGCAGAGGACTCGGCGCTATCAGCCTACGAATCGGACGACTTCTGCTATTTCCGGTGTACCGTGGTCGCGGTGGACCGTGTTTTTATTTTATCTCGTTTTATTTATTATCATCTCTTTAAACCCCATCTTCTGATTACGTGCAGTAATGGTTCATTGCCGCTCAGGGACGTGGATCCGGCGGGATCAACGTACGCACGGAGCACACGCCGTTTCCGGTCCGTCTCGTTCGTGCTTCGCTAATATACGCACCCTATCTCCGGATCATGGACACCGAAAGCCGTTTGTTTTCCAGGATGGCAGATATAAAATATGGTCTTCGGACGGAGTTCGTGACTCTCGGTGGTTTGCTTCAGTGCGTGTTCATTATTGCGTCCGATTGTGCCGGTCATGACTGTCACCGACGCACCGACCGTGTTGGCTCTTGAGCTAAACATCTGATTCACAGGTCTGGTGTTAGTCGTGTAATATTTCGCGCTAAAGGTCCCGCCAGTTACAGCAGTATCGATCCCCGACTCCGTGGGCAAAGTTAACTTTGAAAAAAAAAAACATGGTTTTCCACGATCGAATACCGGCGGAAGCCTTCGAAAGTATAACTACAAGTAAATTAATTTTTCCTGTCACCATTGTATCGGATCTTTTCAGAAAATTCCGGTTGATCTGTTCGTCGTGGACATTGTATAAGGTGACTTTATCTTGCACTTTTGTGTATTGTATAATGATATGGGCGCGTGATCAAACATGCAAACGGTGTGTGCGATACTACCTGTTCGTCAATGTATAGAAATACTAATTTAGATGGCTTTATGCTTTTTTCCCGTCTTCTCACTACACCGTTTGCTCGTTCAACAAAGTGAAACTACTTCGCTCGAAATTTTCGAGCGTGGGACGGACAATACGGAAGATTACGTCCCTGTGCATAATTTATTTGTATAATAAAATGTATGTCATTCTATTATTGTTGTATTATTTTTATAATTTTTTTTTTTTTCCGAAACCATTAAAAGCTTCCAAGAGATCTACGGTTTTGAGTTTCGAATCAATATTTTACATCTACACTATCTTATACTAGAATATAATGGCTTTTATCTAAGACAAGCAGACCGTACATATTTATGTTCTTCAACAAATACAGATATTAAATTTACCGATGATGAAATGTGTGCGATATTTATAGAATTTCAGCATTCCTTACGTTTATTTTAATCCAATACTTCTCTTGAGTATTCCTCGTCCAATCGACCATATTTAATATTAACTCTCGTCGACAGCGCATTACGCTAATCGGAGAAACCCTACTCATTCACGTTAATTCCTTAAAAAGAAAACGCATTCTTTCCAGATATTAAGGAGCAATTTGTACGTGAAATGTTTCAAGAGAACAAGAATATGATTGCCGTCTGCAATGATGTATAGCTACCGTAGAGGAAAAATATAAAATAATTTTATATCCCCTCTTTCTGCCGTAGATATTTTATTACCTGGTAAGTGTGTTGAACTTTTCCAGTAACGGTGCCGGGAGCACAATTGATTTGTTAGAAATGGATATCGATTTGGTAAAGCAAAAACCGTTTTCGGAATATTGCAAGCCTCGGCAACATTATTTTTGGGATCGAATTAACCACGAAAAATATTTTAATCTTCAGAACGAAAACATCGGTTATGGTAAACATACGTAAGTTGAAATCAATACGAAAGCAATTCCATTTCTCCGGGGAAGAACTGTTCGAGGAATTTAATCACTAAAGTTACTGTCCGCGAAACCGTGTTACTCACTGCACATTTTTACAGTCTCTCGAGAATGAAATTAGATTGTATAAACGTTTTGTTGACGGCCATCAGCTGTTATAACATAAATTGTACCGCGTACAGCATGGTATTAAGTTCCTCGTTAGCTGCCGCGACGTACATTTTCTGACCGTCACCTACTTCTGTTCCGACGAGATATTAATTTGGATCGTTTGGCATCGCATACGAAAATCAAATTATGTACGAATTGTAAAAATTATTAAGTAGTGATTCTAAGAGCTGATGACTAAAATAAATAAATAAATAATATTATGATATACAAAGTAATAATCACGTATGTAAGGGTGTATATAAACGCCATTAAAATCTTTTTTCAACATAAATATTATTTAAATAAAAATATAAAAATATTTTTTATTTAAATTAATTGATAAATGTGCTGCGATCCTTTGACTCGTACACACTGAGATAAAACAAATAGGCCATTGACAGCAAGTATAGCAAATATTTTAGTGCCAACGTGCAAAAAGAAAAAAATATTAAATATTTTATTCAAGGTGGTGCACATGAAATGATTTTAAAATACACACATCGCAATCGGTTATTTATCTTTAAATCTTGCACATTTTTGTTCACTGTAAATATTTACCTGAAATAACATTATTGTCTTAAGAGTTATGTACAAAATCAGATTATTTTCAATGACGACATTTTTATTTTTTTTCTTCTTTTGTGAAGGTAAAATGTAATTAATTTATGAATATTATTATATTACGCGTGAATGGGTATGTCACTGAAATCGTGTACGATCATCCCTGCGGGTACGTTATGAATACCCCAAGTGTAAACTGTTTTAATACATTTTCATCTGCCGAGAATAAAACTATCTCTGACATATTTTAATAACGATATAGGCACGCAATAACATAATAGCATAGTTTTAGTGGGTACATTGTATTACAGTAGAAAACTTACACGTTAAACTAACCATTAATTACATTCGGTTAACCTTTGACCGTGATCACGGTATCATGATAATAATATATGATACCCGCACTCTAATATTTGGACCTTTTAAACCTTTTAGATATACTACATGTTATTATTATGCTAACGAATTCCTAAGAACCACATCGAACCACTCGTTTCCACTACGTTGGGTGACACCTTCCGGTTGAAAACAATACACCACTGGCCCTTAGGTCTACTCTTAAAAAGCTTTTAGCTTTTGCATGTGCGTTCACACACACACACACACACACATACACACACATCACACACGCACACGAGCACATACAAGTGGAGTTATAAAATCAACAAGAGGTTGTCCCTATAGCGTGATCTACGGCTGTAAAGGAATAATTATATCTTAGAGAAAAGGGTGTCTCTGTTCCCGCGCGGACCTGATCGCAAATACCATTTGGAAGAGACATTATTTTTTACTTCATTGTTACTTTCCGAACATTTTATACATTAAGTAATATGTAGCGCATTAGACCCTCGTGTTACTTTTTCCGTTAAAATTTCAATAAAATTACTCGGTACTAAAATTATATCTGGTTAAAATTCATATTTTTCACATCAGAACCAATACATAATTCGTAGTATTATTATTATTTTTTATGTATTCCGTCAAGGTTTTTAAACGATACAATTTTTCATTTTCATGTATTCATATTTATTCAGCCCCGAATACTCGATTGAACCATTAAATTGAAATCGATAATTTTCATAATTAATTGCATAATGAAAATCATACAATTCTATTTTATAAATATTTATCGTTTCATAAGCTATTGAAAACTATTGGGTGTCCGTTCCACAACAAGTAATGTTGTAAGTAAATGATGATTATTGGTATACAAATTATTATTTTTTATACAAATATCTACGTATTTTCAAACCGGGTATTTAGTAATAAATATAACAACGACGATTGTTATTATAATAATTATTATCATATGACGGTTGTTTCGAAAAACCAAAAGTACCTGGTTATAGTAACATAAATTCCTATTTCTAATTTAATCTAATCAATATGTTATACCGTTAGTAATTTTGTATATTCTATGAGGTTTTATTTTGTTTTGCTTCTTATTCGTATAGCCGTATAAAGTAGTATCAAGACTTAGAAAGCATCTAAATATATATATATATTTTTATTTTATGAAAAGTAATTTACGAGTGATAAATTAAGTTTGAAAATAGATTGGTTAGAAGTCTGAATCGAATACAGATAACTGTAACAATTTATACAATATATTCAATGTATATTTTAAAACGGAACAAACGTTTTTGTATTTATTTTATTTTACTCGATTGTTCGTACTATGAATAAAATCTAATAAATTGTTTTTTTTTTATTTCAGTGATTGGCGTAAACGGAATCGGGAGGTCGGGAAACTGGCAGCACCCTGTGGGCCAACAGCTAGGGTACAGCTCGGCACGGGTCCGTCTCTACTGCCAGGCAAAGTGAAATATACTGGCTCTGACAGGTAAAACTATTTCTATAAATTTCTATTTTATTTCAATCGATTACTATTATTACTATTTTACCTTTTATCGTAAAACTATCATAAAATGATCATAAAAGTTTAAAAATATCATGAGAGTATTACGTTTGAATATAAAAACAGTGCACCGCTGTGCATCGGTGGTAAAAATAAGACCAGCGAAAAGAGGAAAGACAGAAGCTTAAAAACCTTTAAACAGTACGGTTTCTAAACAAATAAGTTTAGCGGGGTGGAAGGATTACTGCATAGTAATTGAAGCGAAAAAACGATTTCTATGCTGTGCGTCTATTGCGTTAGGTATAGTATATTTAGCCATAGCTATAGCATACTATATTTGTTTTAAAGGTTCAAGTAACTTTTGTTTAAATTTAAATTTTCTTTCGAAAAATACTATCGATAGTATTACAATCATCTAAGCGATATTTATCCATTTAATTCGTATAGTCCTGTAAGAGCATATACGATTTTGTGTAGCCTTCCGTGGATGAAAAATGCCAACAATCTGCATAATTGTACAGTATTTTGAATTACATACTTGTAATAATTCATCGAATAAATTCAGAATTTTCAATCGGTTTTGTTACAGTTAAAATTTTACGAAGCTTTTAGACGCGCTTGTTAATTTTCAGCGTTTAAATTCTGCTTTATTAAAACGCGTACGTTAGCATCTAAAACGCTCAGTTTTTAACCAGCTCAACAAATAACCAGCACTAACGACCACAGGTATTATCAGTTGTTACGTGAAAATTGTTATACTCAGACGTCTGAATTCTGTAGATACTTGAAAATGATTATTTTTGAATGTTATCAATCCAAATATTAGTAAAAACAATAGATTTACGTATTCGTTTAGTTATTATTACCTACTGATGACATATATTAATGAAAATAATGAAATGATGAAAAAACCGAAAATCACTGTAAAAAACCTTTACAAAAAGGTATCGGTTCCGGTTTTTAAATAAATTCTAATATGGATTCCAACAAGGTTCGGATTTTAAAAATTAATTTTAATTATGTTTTCGATGAGGTTCTGGTTCCTTAAATTTAAAGAATATAGTTTCCATAACCGGTTCGTTTCAGTAGGTTTCCATTACCTAGTTTACCGGTATTTTTGTAAATTATTTTGTGAGTCGAATAACGTTTTTTATTACCGTCAGCGATTAACGTTAATCGTAATGTGAAATGTAATATTTTTTTCGTGTGCAAAATATTAGGTGAGTATTTACGCAATATTTGTCGAAAATCAAGTGAATGTGAACACAGCAACATTTTAGTAATACCTTAAGTACGAAATCGCTGCCATAACAGTAATTATGCTACAAAGTTTATTTGAAAACAATACTTCGTAATTTCTTTCTCCGTGTCCCAGTCTAAAAGAGATAATAGAAACCTTTGCTACGTCAGCTTTGTTAAAGATTAAACTTTATTTTATGTTTTTTTTCATTCAAATATTGTCAGATTTTGATTCGCTAATTGATAATTTCCTTACGTTAAAACGTGTTATTGGTAGCCAACGGTAAACACGATCCGATCAGGTTACCTTTGACGTGTGTACAATATAATAACGCGTTTGATGAGAATCCGAGTTCCTCGAAATACGATGGGACATAAGCGTGGTGAATAGTTGTTTTTTTATATTTATCTTACATCCTGAAGGATGGGACGTACGATCGACGTACTACTAATATTTATACATTTAGTGCATACAACGAGATTACGTTACGTTGTGCGTTTCGCGTACCATATTAACTTGATATCGAATTTTTTTGCACCGTTATATTCCTTGTTTTCATATTGATTTCACCTTCATTTTCAGTGTGTCCGCCCGTCAACTTGTCGATTGTGTACGCACGAAACAATACGGAGCTTTAAACTCGGTCCGATCACTACACGCGTCATAACCGGGTCGTTTTTGGACTTTTTTTTTTTTCTCAATTCAGAATCATAACTTTTTTCGAGTTGAATTCATACAATGAAACCTGCTGAATTGAGCCGAACTTGGAATGTTTGACTCGGCACGGTTCACTTTTTTCGTCAAAACAAACTTCAAAAGTTGGTTAAATATTTAAAAATGAAACACATAATAAAAACGAGTTTTACATATTTTATTTACCGAGAAAAAAAATAAATATTGGCCAGTAGCCCGACGAGTCGATGAAAACGAACGACAGTCTATCCGATGTGAATATGAATTTATGCGTTTTAAACTACGTTGATTACAACATCCATAATTATGAAAAACGTACGGGAATGGTTCGGAAATAGTAATTTCGTAAACGAAAAAAGAGCACACTTTGCGATCTGTATGTTCCCTTATTAATATAACCACGTCGATCTTTACGTTGGTCTTTTCGTTCACTGTCTGTACTCGACAAAAATATAAAATTGAAAGTGAAAGCGAAAACCCTGAATCGTGTGTGATTCTGCGGTCAAGTGAACGATGTAACTGTATTGGTTTTTGTAATGCGCGTAATAGAAAAGCGATTGTAAACGCGTGGTAAAGGAAAATCCGGGTGGTTATTGCACTGCTGCAAAGTTACACCGTATATCTTTGGAAATAACTGTGCGCGCACAGAACGGAATTGCATTCGATTTCGGTTTTGGTTTAAAAGTTACAATATACCGACCCAATATACTTCTCTATGCCTGTATCGAAGCAGAACTACAATAATAAATTAAGTTTTGCCGATCAGAAGTGAAAATGCCGAGGGAAAATAAAAATGGATGTGATAGCCTATACGGTCCCGAATTGGCGGTGTGCCCAGAGGCAAAAGGCCAAGAGTTTGTAAACGGAAGTTGCCGATGATCCGCGAAAGCCAAGAAAGAGTGTATACGCGCACTGCGTGATATTTACAAAGTAAGAAAACTTTTTGACCGCCAAAAACAAAGAGATTCGCACAAGACACGAACGCTTAATTTGTACGCCGGTGATGATGATGACCGTAATAATAGTAATAATAATAATTATAGTTACCTGCGAATCGTTGCAACTCTCTGTTCGTCGCTTGGCATAATATACCGTGAAGAGCAATTCCGACACGAAAATCGTTATTATACGTAAATGCGACGGATGCCTATTGGAAATTAATGCAAACCGAAATATGTATAAAACTATTTAGTTTTTGAGCTTTATGTTGTGAGTTGATCTTTGTGTGTGTATCTATGCAAAATGTTGATCAGAAGGATTGCTCCATCACAACCGTGAGAGATATTTTATTATAGGGAATTTCAAAACAGTTTTTAGAAAAACGAAGAACAATTATAAAAACCTTCACCCGAGATTGAGTTTGGAACTCAACATTGTCAAGTATTTCGTCAGTTATATTTCGACGATACGGACAGAAAAAAACATAAATTCGATGAATTTAGTCATTTATAATTATGAAAATTAATATCAAAGTATATATATATACATTATAATAAAATGCGTCGAAATTGTCTTGCGTTGGCTGTAAACGAGTACAACTTTAATCAATGAATTTTCTTATCGAGCAATGATATAATAATATCATAAACCGAGGTGCGTTACCCCAGCACCCGTAAAATGAAATTGAATTTCGGGGAGGTTCGGGGGTTGTACAAAATTGTACAAAATAAAGTACATAATACTGCTTGATTACAATTCATGTTTTCGAAAGTGCGGGTGCTGGGGTAACGCACCTCATAAACCGCGGTCGAATTGACCGCGTCGAAATGACGTACATTGAATCGCTCTCATTATTTTTTTCCAGCAAACTAATAATATTTAAATCGTATAACTAAAAATGTATTTTTGTCTTTTCGTTACTTATATTTCTCACTCAATCAACGTCCATAATCGGATGTTATCACTCTCGTTCATCTCCCGAAATTCGTTAGTTCTATTTTCTACCGACATGGTTGACAGTGTCGGAATGAAAGAAGAAGCGGATATTAAATAATGATACACGGATAACACCTACAGTCAAGAAAAAACCATAGTGGAGTAAGGGAACTGGGAAGACCTATAGGTTAGGTCTATAGGTTAAGCAGTCGTATACAAGATGGATAATGTTTTTTTTTTTCTTTAGAAAAAATACAGAATCTGTAAATTCTTTTTTTTCCAGTATTATATAAACGAAAATAATTTTTTTGATATACATGAATCAACTGGTAAAAATAAGTTACCTAATGGTGATACTCTTTGACTTGATTTATTATTATCAAGAGGTTTCTGCGCCATTGGTGAGCTAAATGTCTGGGAGGATTTATGAAAATAATATTTGAATTAACTTTTCTGATAATGAGTTTTGAATGGTTAGCTAAACAAGATCGGAATCGCCTGTAAATGGTTGATACAGTTTCAGATGTAATGTTTATTTGGAGATCGAAATGACGAATAACGTTGAACCTAAGAAATGTGTATTATTACGCAGTATGTTTCGTAGCTTAACCTTATATAATTGAAAAATTTAAAAAAAAATTTCGTCCGTCTTACGATATTGGATTATTATAACTTGGCTTTGTGCCGGTCGTTTACGAACTCGATTTCTTTAAAATATATGCCATGTCTGCGATAGATCAAAATAAAAAATAAATTCATGTCTCAAAAGATTTAACCATCTCAAACGTATAGGGATTCTTCGAGTACGGTCTATATCAGTCTTATTGTTTTCGGTTCGAAAAAACAATTGTGAACTAATCGTGTCTTTCTTTCGCGCATATAATTAATTAAATATACCTTTGAAACGGATTATTTATGCGCCATCGGGATAAAACTTATTTAGAGGGAACTAATGAATCACCGCGCTCTTAATGATGGTAAAAGGAACTAATGCAATATAATATTACGAACCGGCTCGTAGCGCGTAGTGAAAAACAACGAGAAACACTTTTCGGAAACCACGTGAAATTGGTTAATGGCTTAGCCATGACATGCTTCCGTCGAAACGGTACACTCAGGTACGGTAGGAATATAATATACACATTTTTTCTACACCGATCGTTTGATGAACGATTAAAATTGATCAAAACCAAACATATAAGAACATAAATATTATTATTCAATAATATTTGTTTACAACTTGAAGACTAAAAATGGATCTAATGTCAAATAATCGAACAGTTGATTCTTAATGCCCAATCACTTAAAAGTAACCGAAAGTGTTATGGATCTTCCAAATGAAGATGAACTGTACCGTATTATTTTATTCTTACGGTCACTAATATTGATCGGACCGTAATGATAAACAATTGTAACATAAAATCGTACAGGATGTGAGTATCTGATCTCAGTCTCTACCAGTAAAAATACTTATGGTTGACCTGAATGCTTTTCATTTCTCCCGACCTAATCACTGAAATGGTGATGAGTTTTTGAGTTGCAAAAAAAATTAAATATTGGTCATTAATTCTTTGTGGAGAAAAAAAATCGATATTTTTAACACGGGGTGCTAGGCTAACGAAACTTCTTTCCCTCTAACCGTGTTGAAATGTGTTTCGATGAAAATTTCGTTTGGACTTATTGGGTCATCAATTGTAACAATTTAATCCGAGATTCATAATAATAATCATATTGTTTACAACCGTATTTTATATTGTTCATGAGCACAGTATATGCTTCACGTACATAATAATACGTGATTATAAGGTATTAGTGTATGCGCATAAGTATTAAATATACAAACACGCAAATATTAAGTCATTTTTATTCATATAATGTTGTTTTTATCTGTTTCAGCGATATTTCCTCAGCTCATAAAGAGGAATGGTTCGTGTAGGTAAGTGTACTACAACAACAAATTTCAATTAATAATCGATTCTGATACATATTTACGTATGCTTATACATTTATATTAATAATTATCCAACGTGAACGCTTTCTATCGATATGGTTACCGAATATAATATTTTAATCGAGTAATTACCAACATGTTTATCAAATTAACAAACAAAAAAATCTTAAAATGGATAGGACGAATTGGAATGCTTAATATTAAATGTTGCACATAAAGACTAAATGGAGAAGACAATATCGTGATAAGCAGCAAGCATCAAACGAATTATTAGAAAAAAAAATTCAAATAGTGAGGCGAGCAGAGTAAAATGGTATGTGAAAGGGAGCTAGTGAACAGGTTGGATATTTAGATATTTTAAGGATTAAGAAGGAAATTATTTGTGAATTTAGAACGAATTTCATAATAATCCTCAATTATAAAAATATTAACAAAAAAAAGCAAAAAAAAAAAATAACTTAAGGATTTTATATAAATATTTTTTTATGCAGAAAAGATAATTCAACTTAAAAGTATCTAGACAATGGTAATTGTATTCATATTTATCTAGATAGAGATAAACACTATATTATGGTGATAAAAAAGATATAATTTTTTCAAATATTTTAAATTAGTCAGATACTATAATATAGTAAAAAAAAAACTAGTATATTATACTACCTAGCATTATAGTTTTTTTTTTTTTATGTTTATTATTATTTTATTTGTTTTTACCTTACAGCATTATACCAAATTAATATAGCCAAACAAAGAATATGTATGTTGAGGATTTTTATATAAAATTATTTAATAATGAAATATTGAATAAAAAATTTATGAAATTATTTTTTTTTTATTAAGAGGCGCAATTTATGAAATTAAATATTAATATTTACATTGTTATAATAATAATAGTTATAATTTATACATAACCCATAAGGCGAATATTTTTAATAATTAATATGCCGATAACTGAGAGCGTCCATTCTTCGAACAGTAGATACGTTCTAAATTTTTATTTATTAACAATAAACATTATAACTACCGGCCTGCAACAGGGAAACACACTATCGTTGCTTGTGAATTTTCGTAAGTTATTTCGCTTATATTTTTTAAATTATGAATTTCGAGAAATCCAATAAAATTTTTAAAAAAATTGCGCGCACAGTTCTGATATTTTTTATCAATAAAAAAAATGCTTGTTGATTAATTTATCTACATAAGTAACATATTAATTTACGACAAATGTTTAGATACCATGTCACCATTGATCTAGATGTAACAAAAGATAAAAAAACAACTATTTCGATACCTCATATTATAGTTGTTTAGATTAAATGTAACCATCTGATAACAGATTGAGTTGCCTATCTCTGACTGATGTATTTGATTGCTGCGGTGCGATATTTCTGAAAATACTAATGGTATCGCTTACCGTTATCATCAGTTATAATTATAGAACCAAAATATACCGTACCGTCTATGAATGGGTTGGCTTCCGAAGTATTATGAAAACCTCCGGTGGGTCGCACACTTATCCATATAACCACGCCGTTCTCTGCATAATAATGACAAGTCTTACTCAACGGACGGTTACGATATTTATTTATATTTGTTTTTTTTTTTTTTGCTACACACCCGACTGACTTGCACCGAACACGCGATCCAAAGGACTGCGTTGCAACGTTCGAGTACGGCCGTTTGGACAAAACAACGATTTTTCATTATTCACTCGATGGAAAAAAAAAAACTAAAAAAAAAAAAAACTATTAACAATTATTTAATTAATTTGTGAGCTCATGAAATAAGCACGTCAGTACACCAGACACGAACACGGTTTTTTGTTCATTGTCACGATTATTATATTGTTCTTTTACCTCCCTCGCCCTCATGCTGACTTTGAAAATAGCGTAAATGCCGTTCGGTGTACCCAACCGTTTGAATTCCGCGAAAATTTCAAATAATATTTCATGCTGAAAATTATTTTAATTTCACTACAGTAAAATCTCGCAGCTACGTACCACCCATATTTCTTTACGCGAATCGCGAAACGTCATAATATTATAACGATATTTTATTCGCAAAAAATGTTTCGATCGAATCTCTTGTGCATCGTAAATCAAATACGATTGCGTGACTCTCACTATAAACCATTTCGACGACAACGGCGAAGTCTGTTGGCGATTTTCTTCTTCGCTTCACATTTGAATACATAAATTTACCAAGTCAGTCAACTCGTGTTTGCAACTCGTCGTGTAAAGGCGATCTAGAAAAATTCAAAGCAATGTTTAAAATTATAAATCAAATAGCAAGAATAATGATTCGCGTTACTTATTAGTTAAAAACAAAACTACAATAATTATCGATGTTATTTCGATCTTTGTTTGGATCCAGGAACATTCAACGCTTCCAAAATAATTTTGATTCCGATTATTTATACTAAAAAAATTGATTTTTGCAACGAAATATATGTTTCAAATTAACGCATAAGGGTTTGCGTAAAAAAAAAAATTAAATTCAATGAGTTAGAATTAAATGTTAAAAAAAATAAACTACCTTAACATATCAACCGATTAATGCCTAATCTTGCGTATTAATACCATTGTGTAGACAGTGTTGGACTTCAAGTAGACTAAGTCGATCAGCCATTATTTTTTTCAAAACAACTTATTTATGACGGCGTTTAATGAGTTGGTTAAAACCGTTAAAACCCCTTAGCGAGCATAACTTGATAAGTATTTGATTTATTGTTTAGGGCGTGTTCCGCGTAGAGCCTCATTGGTACGCACGTCGGCGGGTTACTATTAAAGCGCAGCACTTTACACTTTAAAAAAACTTTTAATAATAATAAAAACGATAAATAAAGGCTGATTCGTCACAACGTAACTGCCAGTCCTTACCTATGTATCGGAAATGAGAAAAAAAATAATAAAATTTCTATCTGTTACATGGAATATAACGCAACGACCCCTAACGTGAGAAACGGTTGAATAGGTATACAACGGAGAAAAAATTACCATATAATCATACTGTATCGTGTTTATCGTCATATTTATGTAGGCCAACGTTTTTACACGAATATCGGAAAACATGTAAGCTCCTTAAAGTCCCTGGATCGTGTTGCACGTATTTGAGTTTTGAGATTTTCACTTGTTTTTTGGCTACAATATTACTAATACCGCGTTGACGTCCCAGAACACCGAATAGATTGCGGGCGGTGTCCGCGAAGAGGGGTGCCAGTCAAAAATTAATCTAGGGAAAAGTAAAAGTTTCGATTCGCTGATTTTCATCGAGATATTAAGCGGACAACGTATATAGATATTATATTGTTCGTCTGGTCGAGTGACAAACATAATATAATTTATTATATTTTCCAGGTGAAATGTGTTTTCCCGTAGTTGCGTTTTTTCGAAGGTTATCGTGTTGCGGCGAGCTCACGATGAAAAATGATTAATCGTTTCCGTGGTTATGAAAAACGCTTAACAAATTTGGGCTTTAACGTTATTAAATTTATTTATGTAGATCGATATGAAAATTGGCCAGTTTTCAAATTTTACAGGACAAGTATTTCATAAAATTCCGAATTAAAAAAAATAAATAAAAACGCTATGTGTTCAACGGTAAACATTCATTTCAGTTAAATATTAATATTTATTTAAATTTATTTAAACAAATTTTGTTTTCAATCCCTATGATATTATAACTACAATTATGCAGTACTGAACAACCGACCAAACCGGATTTCTAGGTCTGATATCACAAAAATACCAACGAATGCTACTTTTGTGATGTTAACTAGACATTTTTAAATTTCAAAAACATTTTCAAATTTAACCACAACGCTCGTGCTGAACGCGCACAGTAATTATTATCATTCAAACGTATTTTTTCATATCAGCAGAAATGTAACTTAATGACGTCTCCTCGAGATAATTATATACATCGATACTTCTGCAATTTAGGTTTAATTTTGCGAAAATCGATTTAAATATTCGAAATATTATTATCATAAATGGATAGGCCGAGAAGAGTTCAATAACGGCCTTACGTCGGGATATTGCGACGGGTGCGCCTCGCTACTAGACCTCGGGGGCCATTCGTGGTTCGATCACGAAGGTTAGGTTCGTTGTGACCATTACCATACCGCGAATTATTTTATTTTTGTACACGTCCTCGGGCGCGTGTGCAAAAACAATGATAGTATAATGTTGCTATTGTTCACCATTGACTTGTATGCACAATGTATAATAATGTAATAATAATAATATTATGTAACCCGTATGATTCATAATGCTTGTGCAATTACATGATGATTTTTTTTTTTTTGCAGGGATGGCCTAAACCGTAGCCCAGCAGGGTGAAACCGGTAGTACCTCGCCTGGCCGGCACATGCAACATTCGGATTGTTGCACTTTCCTATTAACATTTTTTTTTCTTAAATTTGTGTTGATAAAAAAAAACAAAATTAATTATAATCATAATAATATAATAATATTACTTCATCTGTTTTTATAAACTTTTATTTTCAATTCTTTTCTAATAAAAAAAAAACTAAATAAAACAAATATTACGAACATTTAAACGTTCATTAACGTTATTATAATAACTATAATAATCATAGAATAAAAAAAAAAATTAAATATAATCTATATCGAGTGAGAAAAATTGTAAAAAACATTATTCGGAATCCATAATGAAAATATATAAAAAAAACCCTATCTTGAACGTTTTTCATACGATCGTAACCAAAACAATTTTGAAATAGTATTTAATACTTTGATATAATATTGTGTTAAATATTGTTAATATTTTATAACAAGTAGTCTTATCGTTTTTCTAACCTACATTTTTTGAATGATTATTTTTCATTCCCGTTCTCAGGGTCAAAAGGAGAAAAGAACAAATAGTCGAACAAGTTCAATGTCTGCATCTATTTCTGTTTTTATCGTTGTCACTGTCACTGTCTTTTTCTCGCCAATCACTGCATTTCGTTATATTCCTTATCGCTACTGCAGCAGTTCTTTCTCATCGCGTTTCCGCCGAACTAATCATATGCACAAGGATAAACCATCTAATGCAGTAGGTACATAAATTAACTTTTGAACTCCTCCAGGCAGGACGAGCACAATATATAATTAATAAAAGATTATTGAAATAATAATTTTAATTTATTTATCCCCCCCTCCCGACGATGGTTCACGGATTTTTTAATTTTTTTTTTTTTTGTCTCCCATACTCGAAATTTCTCCTTCGTCTCTTCGCGTCCGGTAAACAATCGATTTTCCTAGTGAAAAACAAGCGCGTCGGTGACCGTTCGACTCGCGAACGTCTTGATCGACATACTTGTCTCGTAGCAGCGCACATCTCAATTTTGGACCTCGATCGGTGTACTACGTGGCCATCCTTCTCCGATTCTCAGCCACCCCCATCCCACTCAACATCCGTCATCAGTCGCCCTTTTATCGTTGTCCATGGCGAAGAACAAGGACGACGTCCACCGCCGTCAGTCGTCACCGGTCGAACGGTCTCGCCCTAAGATACGTCATCGTTTCTCGGTAAACTACGACCGGGCGAAATGAGCTTCTCGTCCGTAGTTACCGCGGGAACTTGACGACCATACTATTGTACCAAAAAACTATAAGCCATCGTTAGTCCGAAATTTCCGACCCACCTAAGAAAGCCCGACCGGTAGTTATAACAATCACATACCATATCGTACGATTATTCGAACTTTCCATATCATCTTCATATCATACAGAGCACACCACCTACTTCTCGTTGCGGCATGAAAACGAAAACAAATTATTCTTGCCTCCTCGTCCGAAACCCAAGTACCTTTCCTCCTCGTCCGACACCCAAGTGCCTTTCAACGTCAGTTCCGCGCCCTTCCTTCCGTTCTCGCAAATGGATCTACTTCGCGTCTCCGCTCCCCGTACCCGATCGTCCTTGACGTGACTCACATATCATACCGCGATGTACACACAATCCAGCGCGGTCCTTTTCTTCTCCGTTTCTGTCCCGTTTCGTTTTTTTTTCTCACACGCTTTTCGCCCCCGTCCGCACGACTTTTGTGTTAACCCACCACGCGGCATTTCTTCTGGACGTTTCCAAGCTCATTCCACCGCTTTCGATCCGAACACTTTTCCCCGTAACCGTCTCCGGAAGAACGCGCACACCGCCAGTGCCGGTACACCAGAAAATATTTTAAATAATTTTCACTAGGTGGCACTTCAATAAAATTGTCTATCATCGGTTATCGGAGTTCATAGACGTGGTGTTCTTCTGCAGATGAACACACAGGAAAAATCATAGGGTAAAATTTAATTACCACTGGGTGCCACTAGTGCCATCTACTTTATATGTTAAAATATACTCTGCGTTACACGGTGCGGTTACTCTTCCGTCAACCTCGCGCGCGAAATCAGCATTTCCTAACGTGAGTTTTAACACTCTGCCGTCACACACTATCAATATCGGTTCACATCCGTCCATCCAGTCCCGTTCCGAATGGAAAATTAATCGTGAACACATTCGTACCATTCGATTTTGTTAAACCGAAGCATACGGTACAATATTCTTCCATCGCGTCGTGCATGTTTCCTTTGTTCTTGTTAAATTAACCTCACCTAAGGTAGAAAAAAAAAAATAATAAGCGAAACCACGGAAAACTCCATTAGTTGATTTTGATTTTTCTGCCTCAATATTACATAACTTTACATTGCAATCAATAATGTTTATCAACTCTGAATAATAATATATCAAATACATTACAGCGGTCACCATAATCAAAAATGAAAATAAATAGTTAAATTAAACAGTAGTTGTTTATCGCGTACTCCATTGTACGTTCCCGTATAAATTATTATCATTCTTACCCAACCGTAGTTTTGACTGTACCATGGTGTTTACAATATCATTAAATTAATTTATATTATTAATAATTACTCGATTTAGGAAAATTATTTTCGTTAACCTTATGTTACCAGCTTATAATTTTATATTCAACGATAGGAAATTATTGATTATTGTAAAACGATCAAGTGTGTATCGATACGCTATTATTTATTATTGTTTGTTTAATCTAAAACCAAAAAAAAAAAAAAAACAAAAAAAAATCTAAAAAAGATTAAGTACTTGTTTCATTGTTTAGTGAATGTATTAGTGTATTAGTGTTACGAAAATCGATAGTCAAATGATTTGACGACCGGGAAACTGTAGAATATTCTCCTCGAAAAATTCCTAATTAATAAAATAATAATATTAATAATAAATTAATTAAAAAAAAAAAAAAAAACTGTATTATTTATACACAGTTTTATCTATGCGTGAGATTATTATAAGTGTAATTTAGTGTATTAGTAAAAGTAGCGTAAATATGTCGGTTATGATAATTATAATATGTTTATATAAATACATGAATACGAATAATATATACAACGATTTTAGCATTTAAACCATATAAACAGTTCACAAAACCCAAAAATATCTCTTTATTCAGCTACGTCCTCTATAATAATATTAATACAATCCAATATAAAATTATGTTATTAACAAACAGAATGTGTAAATACGGTATTTGCTATATATTTCTCGTACGTTGTATTTAATAATAATTATATAGTATTGTAATAAAAAACTGTTATGCTGATGTGTATCGTTGTATAATGCATATCGTCGTTATAGTGAATTTGTGCCGTTAACGAAAAATGATTGCGCAAAAGAACGTAACTTCGAATACCATAATACACACACCTATTATACATAACTATTATTGTACTCTGTGTAAAAAAATAAAATCGCACAGCTTTACTCGTATATTATTATTATCGTCTTTGATTTTTAGCTTGTAGATTTAATTAATGTCAATTAATGTAATGTTGAGAATACGGTATGACAATAGACATATTATTATTATATATATATATTATAATTGTTTTTTTTTTTTTTTTTTTTTTTTTCATAATCTTATACAGTAACACATAAAATATTATTGTTTATAAAATTTATTTCTTTTCACGGCCTTTGTATCGACGAAAACTAGCTGATTTCTTACAAAAATTATATTATGTATAATAATATTAATGTATTATTCATAATCAAAAGGAATTCCGTAAAAATTTTACGTTTGTTTTATTTGCATTACACATCCACGTGTACTTAGCATAAGATCTCGACGGCTCGAAGTCTTGTATACAGCTGATTTGAAGAGGAGAAGGTTTTATTTTTTTATTTTGTCGAACGGACTCGATGTGACATTTAAAGAAAACTTTAGGGGAATTTCGATTTCCCTCCATACACATGCACACACCAATGTGGTTTCGAGTCGTCCAGATAGTATTATGCTACTATGAGTACTTTTTTTGATGTGAACTGAAAAAATAAAAATAAATAAAAAAAACCATACAAAACGTAATAACAATAATCGCTTCGTTTATCAAACATAATGTCGTATGCGTACGCGGACGTATTCTGAATATTACGATAACATTACGCAACTACCTAAGGTACCAACACGTTGTTATAAATATTAAGCCGATTATGTACAACATAACAATATTTTATATTATATTGTACCGTTGAACGTGAGCCGAGTGAAAATAAATTTACTATTATATTCCAATACAATACTTGATTTGTACATTTACCATGCGTTTAGATAAAAATACATTTCGTTTCCGATATCATTATATAACATGGAATATTAACTAATAAAACATTATTTCAGAAAAAAAAAACTTCGACTGTTGTTTGATTTTCCTTGTACCGCAAACGCGTTCTCTTCCCGGACGCTTTTCGTGCCGTTTCCGTTATCTATCGACTTTTGCAGATGGTGGAGCAGTGCGTGAATATTTCATCGCCGCGCGCGTAAGTATGCGTATTGTACATTCCTATTGATATCATTGTTGATTATGCGAATTGCGCGTCGTGCATGACACGTGCGACAACGGTCATGGTGTACTACGACCACGAATAACGGGTTAATGAGCGGAAGCGGTTTGTACGGCTCCGAAGCATTATACGCCTGTTATTTAAATGAAGAGAAAAAAAAAAAAAACAAAACGGTAAGACGATGTGCGCATGCACATCGGATAGGGTTAGGTAGAACCGAGAGGACGGTCGAAGAGTTATACGAACCACCAGGATGTGTGCGACAAACGCGCGTGAAAAACGATTCTCGGTGAAAATCGAAGCAACGTCGAAACGTCACATTCGGAATCATTCTATTAATAATCCGATAATAATCGTAAAGTTTCGCGCGTAAAAAAATAACAATTCGATGACGGAAAACCGTGTCGGAAGCCAGCGGAGATACGTACGGAAGAGCTGCGTGGATGAACTACGCGGTTATGTGGTTTTGGTCAGAATGGTTATTATCCCGATGGTGTTATGAACGAACACCGTATCACTTTGGCGACGTGTTAAGATTCCGATGAAAAAAATGTCACCGAACTATTCGATTTAATCGTTAACAATATAATAAACGCACTCTTT